TCCTCCCACTGTCTACTGGACTCAACACTGACTGCATCACTAGTACTCACCCTCATCTGTAGCTGCTTGTTTAGGCTCTCCTCCCACTCTCTACTGGACTCAACACTGACTGCATCACTAGTACTCACCCTCATCTGTAGCTGCTTGTTTAGGCTCTCCTCCCACTGTCTACTGGACTCAACACTGACTGCATCACTAGTACTCACCCTCATCTGTAGCTGCTTGTTTAGGGCTCTCCTCCCACTGTCTACTGACTCAACACTGACTGCATCACTAGTACTCACCCTCATCTGTAGCTGCTTGTTTTAGGCTCTCCTCCCACTGTCTACTGGACTCCAACACTGACTCATCACTCTAGTACCTCACCCTCATCTGTAGCTGCTTGTTCTAGGGACTCTCCTCCCACTGCTCACTGGACTCAACACTGACTGCATCACTAGTACTCACCCTCATCTGTAGCTGCTTGTTTAGGCTCTCCTCCCACTGTCTACTGGACTCAACACTGACTGCATCACTAGTACTCACCTCATCTGTAGCTGCTTGTTTAGGCTCTCCTCCCACTGTCTACTGGACTCAACACTGACTGCATCACTAGTACTCACCCTCATCTGTAGCTGCTTGTTTAGGCTCTCTCTCCCTCCCACTGTCTACTGGACTCCAACACTGACTGCATCACTAGTACTCACCCTCATCTGTAGCTGCTTGTTTAGGCCTTCTCCTACCACTGGGGACTCAACACTGACTGCATCACTAGTACTCACCCTCATCTGTAGCTGCTTGTTTAGGCTCTCTCCTCCCTACTGGACTCACTGGACTCAACACTGACTGCATCACTAGTACTCACCCTCATCTGTAGCTGCTTGTTTAGGGCTCTCCTCCCACTGTCTACTGACTCCAACACTGACTGCATCACTAGTACTCACCCTCATCTGTAGCTGCTTGTTTAGGCTCTCCTCCCACTGTCTACTGGACTCAACACTGACTGCATCACTAGTACTCACCCTCATCTGTAGCTGCTTGTTTAGGCTCTCCTCCCACTGTCTACTGGACTCAACACTGACTGCATCACTAGTACTCACCCTCATCTGTAGCTGCTTGTTTAGGCTCTCCTCCCACTGTCTACTGGACTCAACACTGACTGCATCACTAGTACTCACCCTCATCTGTAGCTGCTTGTTTAGGCTCTCTCCTCCCACTGTCTACTGGACTCAACACTGACTGCATCACTAGTACTCACCCTCATCTGTAGCTGCTTGTTTAGGCTCTCCTCCCACTGTCTACTGGACTCAACACTGACTGCATCACTAGTACTCACCCTCATCTGTAGCTGCTTGTTTAGGCTCTCCTCCCACTCTCTACTGGGACTCAACACTGACTGTACATCACTAGTACTCACCCTCATCTGTAGCTGCTTGTTTAGGCTCTCCCACTCTCTACTGGACTCAACACTGACTGCATCACTAGTACTCACCCTCATCTGTAGCTGCTTGTTTAGGCTCTCTCCTCCCACTCTCTACTGGACTCAACACTGACTGCATCACTAGTACTCACCCTCATCTGTAGCTGCTTGTTTAGGCTCTCCTCCCACTGTCTCTACTGGACTCCTCAACTGACTGCATCACTAGTACTCACCCTCATCTGTAGCTGCTTGTTTAGGCTCTCTCCCACTGTCTACTGGACTCAACACTGACTGCATCACTAGTACTCACCCTCATCTGTAGCTGCTTGTTTAGGCTCTCCTCCCACTCTCTACTGGACTCAACACTGACTGCATCACTAGTACTCACCCTCATCTGTAGCTGCTTTGTTTAGGCTCTCCTCCCACTGTCTACTGGACTCAACACTGACTGCATCACTAGTACTCACCTCATCTGTAGCTGCTTGTTTAGGCTCTCCTCCCACTCTCTACTGGACTCAACACTGACTGCATCACTAGTACTCACCCTCATCTGTAGCTGCTTGTTTAGGCTCTCCTCCCACTGTCTACTGGACTCAACACTGACTGCATCACTAGTACTCACCCCTCATCTGTAGCTGCTTGTTTAGGCTCTCCTCCCACTGTCTACTGGACTCAACACTGACTGCATCACTAGTACTCACCCTCATCTGTAGCTGCTTGTTTAGGCTCTCCTCCCACTCTCTACTGGACTCAACACTGACTGCATCACTAGTACTCACCCTCATCTGTAGCTGCTTGTTTAGGCTCTCCTCCCACTCTCTACTGGACTCAACACTGACTGCATCACTAGTACTCACCCTCATCTGTAGCTGCTTGTTTAGGCTCTCCTCCCACTGTCTACTGGACTCAACACTGACTGCATCACTAGTACTCACCCTCATCTGTAGCTGCTTGTTTAGGCTCTCCTCCCACTGTCTACTGGACTCAACACTGACTGCATCACTAGTACTCACCCTCATCTGTAGCTGCTTGTTTAGGCTCTCCTCCCACTGTCTACTGGACTCAACACTGACTGCATCACTAGTACTCACCCTCATCTGTAGCTGCTTGTTTAGGCTCTCTCTCCCACTCTCTACTGGACTCAACACTGACTGCATCACTAGTACTCACCCTCATCTGTAGCTGCTTGTTTAGGCTCCTCTCCCACTGTCTACTGGACTCAACACTGACTGCATCACTAGTACTCACCCTCATCTGTAGCTGCTTGTTTAGACTCTCCTCCCACTGTCTACTGGACTCAACACTGACTGCATCACTAGTACTCACCCTCATCTGTAGCTGCTTGTTTAGGCTCTCCTCCCACTGTCTACTGGACTCAACACTGACTGCATCACTAGTACTCACCCTCATCTGTAGCTGCTTGTTTAGGCTCTCCTCCCACTCTCTACTGGACTCAACACTGACTGCATCACTAGTACTCACCCTCATCTGTAGCTGCTTGTTTAGGGCTCTCCTCCCACCTCTACTGGACTCAACACTGACTGCATCACTAGTACTCACCCCTCATCTGTAGCTGCTTGTTTAGGCTCTCCTCCCACTGTCTACTGGACTCAACACTGACTGCATCACTAGTACTCACCCTCATCTGTAGCTGCTTGTTTAGGCTCTCCTCCCACTGTCTACTGGACTCAACACTGACTGCATCACTAGTACTCACCCTCATCTGTAGCTGCTTGTTTAGGCTCTCCTCCCACTGTCTACTGGACTCAACACTGACTGCATCACTAGTACTCACCCTCATCTGTAGCTGCTTGTTTAGGCTCTCCTCCCACTGTCTACTGGACTCAACACTGACTGCATCACTAGTACTCACCCTCATCTGTAGCTGCTTGTTTAGACTCTCCTCCCACTGTCTACTGGACTCAACACTGACTGCATCACTAGTACTCACCCTCATCTGTAGCTGCTTGTTTAGGCTCTCCTCCCACTCTCTACTGGACTCAACACTGACTGCATCACTAGTACTCACCCTCATCTGTAGCTGCTTGTTTAGACTCTCCTCCCACTCTCTACTGGACTCAACACTGACTGCATCACTAGTACTCACCCTCATCTGTAGCTGCTTGTTTAGGCTCTCCTCCCACTCTCTACTGGACTCAACACTGACTGCATCACTAGTACTCACCCTTCATCTGTAGCTGCTTGTTTAGACTCTCCTCCCACTGTCTACTGGACTCAACACTGACTGCATCACTAGTACTCACCCTCATCTGTAGCTGCTTGTTTAGGCTCTCCTCCCACTCTCTACTGGACTCAACACTGACTGCATCACTAGTACTCACCCTCATCTGTAGCTGCTTGTTTAGGCTCTCCTCCCACTGTCTACTGGACTCAACACTGACTGCATCACTAGTACTCACCCTCATCTGTAGCTGCTTGTTTAGGCTCTCCTCCCACTGTCTACTGGACTCAACACTGACTGCATCACTAGTACTCACCCTCATCTGTAGCTGCTTGTTTAGGCTCTCCTCCCACTGTCTACTGGACTCAACACTGACTGCATCACTAGTACTCACCCTCATCTGTAGCTGCTTGTTTAGACTCTCCTACCACTGTCTACTGGACTCAACACTGACTGCAACACTAGTACTCACCCTCATCTGTAGCTGCTTGTTTAGGCTCTCCTCCCACTCTCTACTGGACTCAACACTGACTGCATCACTAGTACTCACCCTCATCTGTAGCTGCTTGTTTAGGCTCTCCTCCCACTCTCTACTGGACTCAACACTGACTGCATCACTAGTACTCACCCTCATCTGTAGCTGCTTGTTTAGACTCTCCTCCCACTGTCTACTGGACTCAACACTGACTGCATCACTAGTACTCACCCCCTCATCTGTAGCTGCTTGTTTAGGCTCTCCTCCCACTGTCTACTGGACTCAACACTGACTGCATCACTAGTACTCACCCTCATCTGTAGCTGCTTGTTTAGGCTCTCCTCCCACTGTCTACTGGACTCAACACTGACTGCATCACTAATACTCACCCTCATCTGTAGCTGCTTGTTTAGGCTCTCCTCCCACTCTCTACTGGACTCAACACTGACTGCATCACTAGTACTCACCCTCATCTGTAGCTGCTTGTTTAGGCTCTCCTCCCACTGTCTACTGGACTCAACACTGACTGCATCACTAGTACTCACCCTCATCTGTAGCTGCTTGTTTAGACTCTCCTCCCACTGTCTACTGGACTCAACACTGACTGCATCACTAGTACTCACCCTCAACTGTATCATCTGTAGCTGCTTGTTTAGGCTCTCCTCCCACTGTCTACTGGACTCAACACTGACTGCATCACTAGTACTCACCCTCATCTGTAGCTGCTTGTTTAGACTCTCCTCCCACTGTCTACTGGACTCAACACTGACTGCATCACTAGTACTCACCCTCATCTGTAGCTGCTTGTTTAGGCTCTCCTCCCACTGTCTACTGGACTCAACACTGACTGCATCACTAGTACTCACCCTCATCTGTAGCTGCTTGTTTAGGCTCTCCTCCCACTGTCTACTGGACTCAACACTGACTGCATCACTAGTACTCACCCTCATCTGTAGCTGCTTGTTTAGGCTCTCCTCCCACTGTCTACTGGACCCAAGGAAGGACACCTCCTTCCCCTGTCGCAGTTCTTCCTCTGACTTCCACTTCCTCTGGTCCGCTGCTTGCTGAAATACCATCAGTGAGTGAGTGAGTGAGTATGGTTTTAGCTGCTTTTAGCACCATTCCAGCAATATCACAGCGGAGGATGTCAGAAATTGGCTTCACAAATTATACCCATGTGGAATCGAACCCGGGTCTTCAGTGTGACCACTATGCTTCCCCACTGCCCTAAGAAATACCATCAACACTAGCATCACAGACCATTATTATTATTATGTTTTACAGATTAAAGATTGTATGCAGCAGAGAGGGTTCGGGTGATCCTGGCACAGTCAGGCTGGTAGGGCTCATCATCAGCTCAGGGCCCTTGCCCCCTCTACACGCAGCCCAGACAGCGAATGGGACTTCTCCCAGGAAACGCTGCCTAGTCGAACCCACCAAGAACTTTCCAGAGAATATGAAGGCTCCCCAACACTGCAGCCTTCTGCATTACCCAACACTGCAGCCTTCTGCATTACCCAGAGTGTCAGAAGGGCTGTACTCCCGGTGGAGAACCCGGGCACTCTCTTGATCTGCGCCAAGAGATCAGGAGGTACCAAACCAAGGGCACTGAGAACATTATTATTATTATTATTATTATAGGATATTTATATAGCGCACATATCCACACAACTAGTGCTTGCTCAATGCACTGGTATTTTCCCCTCAATCATTGGATGTCAATCTCAACGGCACATCGTATTATCAACCTCAAGTCCCTTGTGAGTATGCAACTCTTGCTGCCTCTAGGCGCACTGAGTTTATTGTGACTTTCTCATCCTAACGAGGTACCCATTCACAGCTGGGTGGACTGGGACACATAGTCACAGTACTTTGTCCAAGTTTACTGCACGTTGCTGTACCCGCAACTAGGTGTTTGCACGTATTCATGTGGCCACCATCTGGTCATATACCAATGGATTCGTGGGTTCTTTTAAGTGCACAGGGTTGTGCACTAGAGATTGTGACAACACTGAAAGAGTTGTCACACAATGTCACGCAATGTTGACTCCAATGTTTTTACACCCGGTCACAGGTGGGTTCGATCCCGACACCTCAACCTTGCTGGATCACTAGCCTGGCGCTTTAGCCAGCACAACCACCGTGCCTACTTCCTGAGAATTACTTTAGCATTAATTTCAAAGGACTTCAGTGTTAGTATAAACATACTACTGGCATAAAGTAACTGTGCATTATATGAATTTATGCCATTTTTAATGCAAAAAGATAATATCATGATTTGTGGTGTTTTCCTTAATCACCGTTTTAACTGTTGACAAGATAATATCGAAATCTGTATGATTTGACACTAGGCATAATGACACACCCTTGAAGAGATTTGTCAAAAGTCAGTCACAAATTCGTATCATGTGTGCCCACCATTTTCGTTGATGCAGGCTTGACAACGATGACACATAGACAACACTAAGCGACTGAAGAAAGCTTGGGGAATGTTGTTCCATGTCTGAAGCAATGCTTGTCCTAATTCAGCTAGCATCAATGGCTGATTTCGGGGCTTGACATAAATGTCGATCCATTTCATCCCACACATGCTTGATAGGGGACATGTCCAGAGAAACAGCTGGCCAGGGCAGTACCGGAATGTTCTGCTGTCTCAGAACATCTGTCACAACACGAGCAGCATGTAGACAGGCATCATCTTACTGAAGCGTGAAGTTACATCTTTGCCCTTAAATGAACAGGTGCACATGAGACCCAACAATCCCATCCCTTTATCGTAGACCTGTCAGATTGCCATTGATAATGACAAGTTGAGTCTGACTATGAGATGTGATGACTCCCAGTATCATAACGCTGCTGCCACCAAACTGTCCAATGTTGAACAAAGTACGCGTCAGCATACCATTCATCTCTCTTTTCTACACCCTTGTCCTGCCATCTGAGCTCTCCAGATGAAATCTCGACTCGTCAGTGAACAAAACACCATCCCAGTCTTGTCTCCTGTTCCGTGGATGCTGTCTCCATCAGACAAGACGTGCCTGTAAGTGGTGTTGGAGCATATTTGGATGTAGCCCAGGCTGTCGGGGACAGAGGTTGTGCTCTATCAGTCAGTTCCATACACGTAACAGTCCTGTAATCCAGGAATGGTCAGAGCAGTCAAACTGGTAGTCTGGAAATTATTCCTTAGATAGGTCAGCCAAATGTGGATGTCTTGCAGACGTGACGTCACGCATGGATGGCCGGTCTAAGAAAACTCTCGTGTTGCCATTATTTTCTGCAAGCCATGCACGTTGTACACTCAGTTTTCGACAACATTCACATGCCAGAGAATCATCAACCGTTCTTCAATTTGAAATATCAGGTGTGTGAACTTCAGGTGTCAAAAAGCATGCAAGTAAGTTCAATGAGCACAAAGTGCAAGTGTCACGAGCGATACGTGACATCAAATGTCATGCAAAGTGATTTGCTACACGTTTATTTAGGGTTATTTTTATAATTCTCCAAATAACTTTTATTTTATGCAATTTTATGTTATGCACTTCTTTTTTCCATTAGTATATATACTAACTATTACCCAGAAGTACCGCGACAAATTGATTATTTCTAGATTTTACCTGGTCTAAGTGTTTGCTTGCAGAGTGCCTCCAGAGTACACTGGACAATGACCGATTGTTATCTGACTAGAAAACTCCTTAAAGGCACAATGTCACGTTTTTCGACAATATTTTGTCGGAGTTTGCCGAAGTGGTTTCAATCACAAGTTGCGTTAAAGGATATTCGTAAAGAGCTCTCCAAGGGACATAACTCTATGAGTTTTGTTTGAAATAATGTTTGGTCAGTAGAGGACGCGAGAGTCGATTTAATGCAACGTTGCATTAATTCATTTGAACTTTTTAATTTAATATTGTAGTCTAAATATATAATTTATTCCCGAAAAAATTATGTATTTAGACTACAAGATTAAATTAAAAAGATGCCTTGTTTGACACGTCATTGTATCCCAGTTTTGTAGATTGATGCTCATGCTGTTGATCACTGGATTGTCTTACGATTACTTACAGACTGTTGCCATATAGCTGTAATATTGCTGAGTGTGGCGTTTAACAACAAACAAACAAACCAACCAATGGGGCCCCTTGTAACATGTCTTCCATTACCTTCTTCATATGTCTGATTCGGTTCTCCTCTGCTAACAGAAGTCTCCTCCGTGTCTCGGCGACGTCACGGATCTGCAATTCCTCTCGCCTCTCGTCGTCCCATGCCAACCTTGCCTTCTCACGCTGGGCATACAGCTTTCTCTCGGTGATGCGCTTCTTCTTCATCAACTCCACAATTCGTTTATCCTGTTTCACAAAAATAGAAACAGTTTAACATCATGCAATTACCAACATTGTGAGTGAGTGAGTGAGTGAGTGAGTGAGTGAGTGAGTGAGTGTATGGCTAGTTCTTAGATGGGTGACCAACAGATAAATAATATCTAACCCTGCACTGATGCTCTTGTTATTGACCACTTGTTCAATCTTTTTTGAGTCAAGTTAGTTTAATTGCTAACTATGATTGTGGAAATATTCGCTTAGTCTCTTTACCAGGTACACACCAATTCTATTATCTGTATGCATCACCACTTGCACTTCCTTATGACCACAGTTGTTTGCACTGTAATCGCTCTTGAAAGATGACTGGTGTATGCCACGCGAAGTTTGCATTTGTACGATTTTCATTTTAAAAAAACCACCCAAAAAACAGCTAGAAACAAAACACTAACCACTGTGGGATGCAAGATGATAGTCAAAATTAATGGTCTACAGAGATTTTATCGACCTTCTTGAAAACCGTCAAAATCAAGAATGACGCCCCATGCACGTGTATGGGGCTACTGCGTAGTGCACGTGCATCCCACCCATGCAAATGTGTTTCGGGGTGGAGATAAAGAGAAATAGTGGTGCGTTCATAAAATGTCTGTTTTTTAAAAGTTTGTTAACACTTATACTTCCTATCCAAATTGAAAGTTTAAGTTCCCCTACTTGTTTTGAAATCTACATATAACAAAAATTCCCACCAAGAATTTGCATGACAAAGACTTTCTCCCTATTATGCCACCGCTCTTATATCTTGATAAAAGTGTACAAACGTTATGCTTTTGGGGGTCAACTTGCTCAAATTTGAATTTTCTCTTGAAGCATGACAAATCAGTTCACATTTCTCAATTCAACTACATCGTTATTTCTCAATGATCTGACCATGTCTGATAATTTGCATTTCAATATTTACTTTAAAATTTGAGATTTTAGGTGGGTCAAAACAGTCTTTATCTTGTCGAATCCACTCCATAATTTCCAAATAGCTAACAACTTACAGTTTCCGCTATTTTCACAGGTGATCTGGTTGTGTTGACCTTTGACCTTGTTGACCTTGTGGAGGTGTTACTTCGGGCAGACGTGTTATTTCGCGATGACCTGGGAATACTGGTTGCCGAGGTGTTTTTGGTTGCCGAGGTGTTTCTGGTTGCCGAGGTGTTTCTGGTTGCCGAGGAATTTCTTGAAGCACTGCGATTTCTAAGAACAGCAATAGTTGAAACATTGACTTTGCCAGATAGAAATAGCAATATGTTTATGGTTTTACCCACTTTAAATAGAGGGCTTTTTCTCAGTGTTCTTAACAAAAATTTGAAAATGTTGGTTGGTTTGAAAATGACTGTTGAGGACAGTTTGGATCTGAACCTTGTTGATGATCAATCAACTGCAGCAATCAATTTTGGCATCGATATGTTAGGAATATAGCTACAATCACACAATGCAGCAGATATTCCTTTCATGTACGAGTTGTTGCTTCATACATATTCAAGTGAGTGAGTGAGTGAGTGAGTGAGTTGAGTTTTACGCCAATCACATAGCCCGGTGCTCATTATGTCAATCACTGGTTTGTTTGGCCGTCACGCATGTGAATATTGCTAAGTGTGGTCTAAAAAACGAGTGAGTGAGTGAGTATGGTTGTACGCTGCTTTTAGCAATATTCCAGCAATAACATCGTGGGGACACCAAAAATGTCCCCAAACAACAAATACTTGTGCTTGCCTGACTGCTTTTGACTTGCCAGCTCGACCTTCCTTCCTAGAGAGCAGCTCCTGTTTGAGTTTGAGGCTTTCATGGTGCAGCTCTTCAGCTCTGTAACAGTGGTAGCAAACAAAATATTACCAATATTATTATTTATATATAAAGTATTTGACCACCCCCCTGCAAGTCATGTACAAATTTGCTGACCCCCTCCCTAGTAGATGTGTTCAAATTTGCTGACCCCCTCCCTAGTAGATGTGTACAAATATGCTGACCCCCTCCCTAGTAGATGTGTACAAATTTGCTGACCCCCTCCCTACTAGATGTGTTCAAATTTGCGGACCCCCTCCCTAGTAGATGTGTTCAAATTTGCTGACCCCTTCCCTAGTAGATGTGTACAAAGCAGCTGACCCTCCCTAGTAGATGTGTACAAATCAGCTGACCCTCCCTAGTAGATGTGTACAAATCTGCTGACCCTCCCCTAGTAGATGTGTACAAATCAGCTGACCCTCCCTAGTAGATGTGTACAAATTTGCTGACCCCCTCCCTAGTAGATGTGTACAAATTTGCTGACCCCTCCCTAGTAGATGTGTACAAATTTGCTGACCCCCTCCCTAGTAGATGTGTACAAATTTGCTGACCCCCTCCCTAGTAGATGTGTACAAATTTGCTGACCTCCTCCCTAGTAGATGTGTACAAATTTGCTGACCCCCTCCTAGTAGATGTGTACAAATTTGCTGACCCCTCCCTAGTAGATGTGTACAAATTTGCTGACCCTCCCTAGTAGATGTGTACAAATTTGCTGACCTCCCCCCTCCCTAGTAGATGTGTTCAAATTTGCTGACCCCCTCCCTAGTAGATGTGTACAAATAGATTGTTGACCTGACCTCCCTAGTAGATGTGTTCAAATTTGCTGACCCTCCCTAGTAGACCCTCCCTGACCCTCCCTAGATGTGTACAAATTTGCTGACCCCTCTCCCTAGTAGATGTGTACAAATCTGCTGACCCCCTCCCTAGTAGATGTGTACAAATCAGCTGACCCCCTCCCTAGTAGATGTGTACAAATTTGCTGACTCCACAACCTCTCTCTATTAAAAATCATCATCACACAACTAGCCATAAATTATGAATGGTCCCTAAGGACAAAGGTTGTGCAGGTGAAGATAGCAGTCTTGATTGTTTAAGGAGACTCCATGAGACAGTTGACATAAAGTTGAAAAGAACAACAGCATATCTGAACTATTCCTAAAAACGATTATGAGAGGACCTGTCACCATACAGAGCTGAAGGAACAATTCCTGACCTGACCAACAAGTACCATATTTTAACACGCGACCTTCAGTTCTCCGGGCGGATGCTCTAACCACTACACCATGGAGGTGGTTACATCCAGGATCAGAACGTATATGAATCATAATTCAATTCATAACTTCCTAGAGATTGCCTTCAAATGTATGTGAATGCTCTCATCATACACCTTTCCATTTACTTAATAAGTAAACCTTCACAGTCCAACTCAAAAAGTAAATATATTAATGCACAATCTACAATATAAGTACAAGTAGTCCTTTGAAGTTGTGTCTAAGGAGGTGAATCGTGTTGCACTTGTTGGTGGCGTGTGGTCTTGTGTAGAGAGCTCTTGGATGGGTGACCGTGCTTGACTCCTGAGAGCTCAATGTCAGTCCTGCCCCACAACGAAGCACATGTGACATATGTGGCCTGACCTTAGGCAAATGAGTTTGCTCAAAACTGCCAGCAGTGAATGGGTACCCGGTGGGACAAGTCATATCACTGTTAGCCTTCTAGCACCTCACATTCAGCTTGGGTTAAGCAGGGTACAAATGACTTAACGCTTTGAGCATGCACAAGTTGATATGGTTGCTTGTATGACCATTTCCCTGTATCAAATTTGTTTGTTGTTTAATGCCGCACTCAGCAATATTCCAGCTATGTGGTAGTGGTTTGTAAATAATCGAGTCAGACAATCCAAACGATCCCGTTAGTTGCCTCTTACAACAAGCATGGGTTGCTGAAAACCAATTCTAACCCGGATCTTCACAGGTCCAATGATAAGTACATACAGCCAGTCAACATGGCAGCCATAAGCACAGCCACAATACCATACTGATAAGCTTCCCATCCTTCCTCGAAAGTCAAAACAGGAAGACATGACCGGGAACAGTATCTGTAGTTAGTGAATGTGGTTGTACACAGCTTTTAGCATTACCCATCCATATTGTTGCTTGGCACAAAACATGGGCTGGATACAGTTGCTTTATAATTTTCCATGGCTAATAATATTATTTGGATGAGGATCAATCACCATGAGACAGCCCATAGCTATGCGTGGTGCCAGTCAAAATCAAGTTCATTTCTGATGCTCATAGGGAGCAGCATGGAGATAGTGAGTGAGTGAGTGAGTTTAATTTTAAGCCGCACTCAGCAATATTCCAGCTATATGGCGGCGGTCTGTAAATAATCGAGTCTGGACCAGACAATCCAGTGATCAACAGCATGAGCATCGATCTGCGCAATTGGGAACCGATGACATGTGTCAACCAAGTCAGCGAAACTGACCACCCGATCCCGTTAATCGCCTCTTACGACAAGATAGTCGCCTTTTTATGGCAAGCACATGGGTTGCTGAAGACCTATTCTACCCCGGATCTTCACGGAGTAACAGCATTTCCCTGTATCACTATCAGATTTGTTTGTTGTTTAACACCGTACTCAGCAATATTCCAGCTCTGTGGCAGTAGTCTGTAAATAATCCAGTCTGGTCCAGACAATCCTGTGATCAACAGCATGAGCATCAATCTACACAACTGTGATACAATTACGTGTCAACTAAGTCAGCAAGCCTGACCAACAGACCACCTCTTACGACAAGCATAGGTTGCTGAAACCCAAATCATCATGGACCTTCACAGCATCCTTGTATAAAAGAAACAAGATGGCTATGCCAGGTGTTCTTTTTACGGTGTTCACATTAACGCACAAACCTGAGTGTTTCACGCAAATAAATCTACATTTCACGCACAATATTTTCTTCCTGCGTGTTCCGCACGCAAAGTGTTTTATGTTCTTGGAACAAGTAACCGAAAATCATATTTTGCCCAAGGAAACAACAAATTAAATAAAGTTTCTCTCAGCTAATTTGACTTGCAAATGATGACAACATGCTCTAAAATGGAAGGAAATGACTTCCAAACTTCAAAATATTTACAGGGTGACCCCGTACCCTGCTAGAGACCTCGCTGCTTTCTGGCTGGGGCATACGCCTGCTGTGCATGCACATGCAAGATTCTTGGGGCTATGCGTTTTAGGAACGCAAAGCTTTTTTTTCTACCGCAAACACTGGTTTAATAAAATCGCAACAATAAGCTGTCCCTGATGTTCGTGATCTCACCTGTTCTGGACATCCTTGGTCGTGAGTCGCTTGTGGCCTACCGATGTTGCCCAGGCAGTCCTCTGTCTCTGTAGCGATCCCTTGTCAAAACCAACACCTAGAAATAAACATAATCTTAACTTACAAAGCTTTCAAAGATAACACTGCTTTTTTTCTTGAAACATCTTGTTTATATTGTTTCAGATATTTTACAAACACAATAACATGTGTAGGCTGAAATTTCCCAGTTTAGCTGGAAAAATTTGAATAAAAAAATGCGATAATGGTAAGGGAGGTAATCACTACAACAGATATGACTCACCCATGTTGACCCCGACTGTGTTTCTGCTTGTCTCGGAATAACACAAGTGTGTCATGAATGATTTATGAGGTAAGGGAGGTAATCACTACAACAGACATGACTCCCCAGTGTTGACCCCGACTGTGTTTCTGCTTGTCTCGGAATAACACAAGTGTGTCATGAATGATTTATGAGGTAAGGGAGGTAATCACTACAACAGACATGACTCCCCAGTGTTGATCCTGACTGTGTTTCTGCTTGTCTCGAATAACACAAGTGTGTCATGAATGATGAATGAGGTAAGGGAGGTAATCACTACAACAGACATGACTCCCCAGTGTTGACCCGACTGTGTTTCTGCTTGTCTCGAATAACACGAGTGTGTCATGAATGATTTATGAGGTAAGGGAGGTAATCACTACAACAGACATGACTCACCAGTGTTGACCCTGACTGTGTTTCTGCTTGTCTCGGAATAACACAAGTGTGTCATGAATGATTTATGAGGTAAGGGAGGTAATCACTACAACAGACATGACTCCCCAGTGTTGACCCTGACTGTGTTTCTGCTTGTCTCAGAATAACACAAGTGTGTCATGAATGATTTATGAGGTAAGGGAGGTAATCACTACAACAGACATGACTCACCAGTGTTGACCCCGACTGTGTTTCTGCTTGTCTCAGAATAACACAAGTGTGTCATGAATGATTTATGAGGTAAGGGAGGTAATCACTACAACAGACATGACTCACCAGTGTTGACCCTGACTGTGTTTCTGCTTGTCTCGAATAACACAAGTGTGTCATGAATGATTTATGAGGTAAGGGAGGTAATCACTACAACAGACATGACTCCCCAGTGTTGATCCAGACTGTGTTTCTGCTTGTCTCGGAATAACACAAGTGTGTCATGAATGATTTATGAGGTAAGGGAGGTAATCACTACAACAGACATGACTCCCCAGTGTTGATCCCCGACTGTGTTTCTGCTTGTCTCGAATAAGAATAACACAAGTGGGAGGTAATCACTAGCAGACATGACTCACCAGTGTTTGACCCGACTGTCATGAATGATTTATGAGGTAAGGGAGGTAATCACTACAACAGACATGACTCCCCAGTGTTGATCCAGACTGTGTTTCTGCTTGTCTCGGAATAACACAAGTGTGTCATGAATGATTTATGAGGTAAGGGAGGTAATCACTACAACAGACATGACTCCCCAGTGTTGATCCTGACTGTGTTTCTGCTTGTCTCGAATAACACAAGTGTGTCATGAATGATTTATGAGGTAAGGGAGGTAATCACTACAACAGACATGACTCCCCAGTGTTGACCCCGACTGTGTTTCTGTTTCTGCTTGTCTCGAATAACACAAGTGTGTCATGAATGATTTATGAGGTAAGGGAGGTAATCACTACAACAGACATGACTCCCCAGTGTTGACCCCGACTGTGTTTCTGCTTGTCTCGGAATAACACAAGTGTGTCATGAATGATTTATGAGGTAAGGGAGGTAATCACTACAACAGACATGACTCCCCAGTGTTGATCCTGACTGTGTTTCTGCTTGTCTCGGAATAACACAAGTGTGTCATGAATGATTTATGAGGTAAGGGAGGTAATCACTACAACAGACATGACTCCCCAGTGTTGATCCTGACTGTGTTTCTGCTTGTCTCGGAATAACACAAGTGTGTCATGAATGATTTATGAGGTAAGGGAGGTAATCACTACAACAGACATGACTCCCCAGTGTTGATCCCGACTGTGTTTCTGCTTGTCTCGGAATAACACAAGTGTGTCATGAATGATTTATGAGGTAAGGGAGGTAATCACTACAACAGACATGACTCCCCAGTGTTGATCCAGACTGTGTTTCTGCTTGTCTCGGAATAACACAAGTGTGTCATGAATGATTTATGAGGTAAGGGAGGTAATCACTACAACAGACATGACTCCCCAGTGTTGACCCTGACTGTGTTTCTGCTTGTCTCGGAATAACACAAGTGTGTCATGAATGATTTATGAGGTAAGGGAGGTAATCACTACAACAGACATGACTCCCCAGTGTTGACCCCGACTGTGTTTCTGCTTGTCTCGGAATAACACAAGTGTGTCATGAATGATTTATGAGGTAAGGGAGGCAATCACTACAACAGACATGACTCACCCGTGTTGACCCCGACTGTGTTTCTGTTTGTTCCAGCAGTGTTGTAGTGTGGCTCTGTAGCAATGATCCGATATCTCTCCTCTCGACACAACTGAAGTTTACCTGCAGCAGTAGAGTTGTTACAATTTAGTCACACTTTTGTCGCAATTAGGGACCGTTCATAATTTATGGCTAGGAGTGGTTATGATGATTTTCATGGAGAAGCATGTACAATGTGAGTGACCCCCTTCCCCCCCCTCTAAAATTATGTACAAGGTATGTGATCCCACCCCTGCATGTCATGTACAAAATCCGTGACCCTCTCCCCTTCCCATATTTTTAAGCATATTTTTGTCATATTATTATGTACAAAATGCTGACCCCCACTAGTACATGTGTACAAAATTGATGATGCCCCACCTCCCCAGAACAAAATGGGGAACAGACAAAAAAACACCCCCCCCCACACACCTCCATCCATAAATTCTGAACAGTCCCTTAACCAGATCCCTTCATAAATTCGTCTTTCATCATTCATGATCACAAGATTCACACATTCATCTGTTTTTAAAAGGGGTGTGTTTTTACCCAAATTTGGATGTTGAGCAAAATGGCATATATCCAATCCTGGCAGGATAATAGCCATCACTCTTTATATTAAGCATCTGGCTTGGGTGGGTTTGGAGCCTGGATATTGCGCTAAATCCACACCGGCAGCAAGCTCATAGAGCAAGATTATTATTACCCCAAAAACTCAAGCTGCCTGTGAGGCGATAGCTGACTACTGAGTTTGGTTTTACGCCGCTTTTAGCAATATTCCAGCAACATCACGGCGGGGACACCAGAAATGGGCTTCACACATTGTACCCATGTGGGGATTCGAACCCGGGTCTTTGGCGTGACGAGCCAACGCTTTAACCACTAGGCTACCCCACCACCCTGTGAGGCAATAGAAGGTTAACAGTCATGACCTATCTAACTGGGTGCCTCGTTTTCTTGTCTCTACTTACGGACTCTGGCCTGCTCGTGTTCGTCATAGATGTTGTAGATGGTGCGGAGGGGGATGTCCTGGGGTAGCAGCTCCTCCTGGAACTCTGCTAGAGGCTTGTACAGCAGGTCCACTGGCTGAGGGATGAGGAGGCGAGGCTCATTTCATATACAAAATACATATCATGTATCTTATTATCAAATGCCTTCAGTGATTACATTATCTAACTGTACATCTTTTACCATAGCAACTGTATACCAGAGTTGAGAACTGATTATAATCTCATAATTTATTTTATTGGTTTATTAAAACCGTTTAATCATTGAAAATAATTGGTTGGTACCATATGTCAAATTTTTCAAAAGTCAATCTTAATAGCAAAAAAGTGTTAAAAACTACTTGCATTCAGAAAACTACCTAGAGATAATGAGCAGAGTTGTTATCACGTGATCTGACGTCATAGTAGCCGGTCGACTTGCAGCTAATCGCTCTTAACGTGTAGACAGACAATAACACCCATGAAAAGGTTGAATTTTTGCTCAATTGCCTTACACATATTCATCCATACCAATATGAGCATGTGGTCAGTGTTTCTGTTATCCGGTATATATCAGACTTTGACCGGTACAAAGTTAGAATGTCAGGTAGTTCAAAGGCTGTTAGTAATCGTGTCCAGCAAATTTTAAAATAAAATATCCAATTACCTCTATTAATTTTATTTCTCCACGAAAAAGATTTTTTTACAATGACATTGAGGTATTGTAAAAAAATAAATAGCAGTTTTGGAAAACTCCAGGCTAAAAATAGCGGCATTGACGCATTGCGATGCCCTATACATTTCTGATTGGTTGTTTGGGCACAAGGTCTCGCGCACAATGAAAAGCGTGATCACTTGACTGGTATAATTTACAAATGACCGGTATTTGAAAAGCTAGCCTGTCACAATGTCCAGCTGTAAAAATGCCAGTGGAAACAGTGGCGGTTAGTCAAAATAAGCATGACAGCATCGAAGATTGCCAGGAGGAACTGTCAAGTGAAGGCAATCAATCTGATGTCAACACTGAAACTAGTAAACACAGATTGGTAAGTTTTCTAATTTGACCGTTTATAGAATTTGGAAATTTTAACTATAAATTGTAATATGTTTATACTTATCCTATCTCAAGTCATGGATACTCTCTCTTCAATTCGACCTGCTGATTGGAAACTAACTGCAATTATTTTATAAAATCCTAGGCCTTGCCCGTCCATACGTCCATGCACTCCTTGCTGCCCCTTTATCATAAGGATGCCCGCGGTGACTCCTGGGAAGCATGCAGCATGCTCCACTACCTGCTCACATTGTTCTTGGAGCAACGTAAATAACCTGAGTAGTGAGGAGGCTGGGCATCCATCGCTTGAGATAGGATAAGTACATAAATAAACTATTTATTATTAAAATTTCCAGGAGGAGGTGCAGTGTCCGTGAGCGCCGGGCCAGGAAAAGACGTAGTAAGAGACAGCCCAAGATCCGTAGAAGACGATTTGAAGAATGGGTACGATCGCACGGGTCCTAACCAAAAGGGCCACATGACAAAAAGGCCCTAATGCGGAAAAGTCAAAAGGGCCTCAAGAAAGTCAAAAGGGCCCGTCCAAAACGTCCTCAGACCCCTACTCAAAAGGGCCCCATATCAAAAATTTATATTAACATTTTTTTTTAAAGGTGTATTATAGTAAAAGGTTATACATCTATACAATGTATACCTTATACATACTAGCTATGATTGTAATAGCTATTTTTCAACATTTGAGGTGAGGTGAAATTGGATTTAATGTCGTGCTTGAGAATATTTCGCTCATATGACGACGTGCATGCGTGTGTATGTGTATGTGCAGCTGCTTGTACTAGCCCAGACTAAAGCTGGTTTTATAGTGCTAGCCCACTGAGATACCATGCCGCAGTGAAGCATGAATATCCCACTCAGACACATTATACTGACTCTGAGCCGACCAGACCTTGTTGTACCCATTAATGCCGGGTGCCAGGCAGGGACCAACAAGTACCATATTTTAACGTCTTTTGGTATGACGCTGTCGAGTTCGAACCCGCAACCTTTTCACTCTCCGGGCGGACGCTCTAACCACTACACCACGGAGGCAGTTTCAATATTTGAAAGAAGCATTTGCTGATATAGACAGACAGATTGTTTAGTTCTCAGACAAAGTATTTTGTTACTTAGACAAAATAAATAACCATCACATACATCTATTCTTTGTCATCAGTTTCTTTCAAATATTGAAAAAATATCTCATTAAAACAGAACTAGTATGTACATTGTATAGATGTATAACCTTTCACTATAATACACTTTTAAAAATAGATGTTATGATATTTTTTATATGGGGCCCTTTTGACTTTTTGATGCAGCCCTTTTGACTTTTCCATTTTGGGGCCCTTTTGTCATGCGGCCCTTTTGACCTGTTCCCCGATCGCACGAACGGGGATGATTCCCAGATGAACGAGGAGGTGGTAGAACAGGGTTCCAATCTGTCTGATTCGAAGAAAGGTCCAAGATAAGGGGGTTCGGCGGAGGAGCTGGTAAGTCAAGTTTCCCACCAAGTTTCGCCCAATCAGAAGGGGAATTCGCTGAATGGGACAACAGCATGCTTGTGGTGAGATCCTGTAAGTCAGGTGTTTTCTCTTGAGTCGCAGACAACAACACGGGACTCAACGGAGCGGTTAGGAGATGGCGATTCATTGGGACCCAGAAGACAACGCAGGTTCTCAGACAAGTAGGAATCAGAGGAGATTTAAAAAAAAATCCTCTCTCCGATGTTGGTATGAGGGAATGACGAGCAGTCCTAGTCGGACGTGCTTCTTGGCCTCTTAGAGGGAGAAGGGCCATGTTCATCAGCGTGCTTCCTAGAATCCCTATCCGGCAGACAACGGGAACCAACCCTCTTGTAAGCTGTGAAAGCTTCGTCAGACAGGTGCTTACACTGCTCGCAACGCCGCTCCCAAATTCAAAAACCTACACAATCCACACACAAAGTATGGGGGTCTGCTGTAGAAAACATTTTTGCATTGGCGCGAAACCTTCCTCTTCCAAGAAATTATCAGTTTTCCCATGTTGACGATTGGGATGATTGCAGTATACGCCCACACACCAGTGTGACAAGAAAGAGAATGACTAAGGAGATGGTCACGTGAGCAGGTAGTGGTGCATGCTGCATGCTTCCCAGGAGTCACCCCAGGCAGCATGGAGTGAGTGGGTGTATGGAAAAGTGACGCCTAGGATTTTATTTGCAGTTTGTTTCCCCTCAGCAGGTCGAATTGAAGAGAGAGAGTACAAGACGTGAGATAGGATAAGTTTAAAATTTTATTATTATTATTAATGTACCTTTGAAGCAGAGGATTAATGCCTCACTGTCAACATAAAAGCACAGAAAAATAGGTATCAAAACCAACTTACCTTTACAGAAAACCGAGAGCAAGCCTCCAGCGACCTTGGACTTGACAGCACATACTTGCTATCTTCAAACTGAGGGTCTTCAAAGTTATTAAGATCAATCTTAATGGGTAGATAAGGTGAGGTAGCTGGAAAAAACAAAACTAATGACAGTTTCTTTTCATCCTTTTTAAGACAGACAGTTCCATTTTATATAAATACATTCACAATGTGAACAATTGTTAGGGACTGATATTGATATCTGAGATTGAGTGACTTTTGTTTTATGCCACACTCAGCAATATTCCAGTTAAATGGCGGCAATCTGTAAATAATCAAGTCTGGACCAGACAATCCAGTGATCAACAGCACAAGCATTGATCTACACAGTTGTGATGCGATGATAGATATGTGTCAACCAATGCAGCGAGTCTGACCACAGGATCCCGTTAGTTGCCTGTTACCATTGACATCTGAACGTCAGGGCTGGTTGTGCTTTAGGGGTCAGACATTTCTCTAACCGAACACAAAAACAATTACAATATTTTTCAGTTTTGCTTAACATGCTTAATTCAGAGTGACATCTGTGAAGAATCACATTTAAGTTCAGCTGCTCAAGACATCCTCTGCACCTATTAATTTTAAATCTTAAAAGTCATATTAATGATAATTAACGAATAATTAACAGGACAGGCAATATGAGAAACAATCCGAGCTCGTTGGCCTGGTCTGACTGTGATCAGCAACACACACAATAGTTTATGTTTCTGCATTGAAGCCACCTTTCTCCACAACTCATATAAGATTGCTTGGATTAATTTGTTAATACTAATAGATAGATAAGCCTGTTAACGTTAACCCTAATGTTGCCTAATCTCAATCATGATCATTCTGAATGACAATCGTCAGTTCATTATCAGTAATCACTAATCATGTGCTGCTCTTCCCACGAACCAGTGTTGGCAGGTCTTAAAATCAGCTATATATTTAGTCACTGGCATAACACCTCCTTTCTTGGCCACTGCCTGAAGTCAACTACCTGTGCCCTTCAATCAGTCTAGTCCACTCTGTGCAGCCCAAGCCCATCTATTGTCTTTCTATTACAGTCCAGGTGTTATCAGGTCAGCTGCACTCTAATAGCCTTATCATCAAACCTAACTTGTATCAGGTCTTATTTGTTGGTGTAGGACCATTTCCCACACAGACAATTGCCCACATGATAATTTCCCATCAGTTGAGTGACAATTCCCCACACAGACATTTCCCCATCACTTGAGTGACAATTCCCTACACAGACATTTCCCCATCACCTAAGTGACAATTCCCTACACAGACATTTCCCCATCACTTGAGTGACAATTCCCCACACAGACATTTCCCCATCACTTGAGTGACAATTCCCAACACAGACATTTCCCCATCACCTAAGTGACAATTCCCTACACAGACATTTCCCCATCACTTGAATGACAATTCCCCACACAGACATTTCCCCATCACTTGAGTGACAATTCCCCACACAGACATTTCCCCATCACTTGAGTGACAATTCCCTACACAGACATTTCCCCATCACTTGAGTGACAATTGCCCACACAGACATTTCCCCACCAGACAATTTCCCATCAGTTGAGTGACAATTCCCCACACAGATATTCCCTGCCAGACAATTTCCCATCACCTGAGTGAAAATTCCCCATCGCCTAAGTGACATTTCCCTACACAGACATTTCCCCATCACCTAAGTGACAATTCCCCACAGACATTTCCCCATCACTTGAGTGACAATTCCCTACACAGACATTTCCCCATCACTTGAGTGACAATTCCCTACACAGACATTTCCCCATCACCTAAGTGACAATTCCCACACAGACATTTCCCCAGACAATTTCCCATCAGTTGAGTGACAATTCCCCACCTGATATTCCCCAGACAATTTCCCCATCACCTGAGTGACACCCCCATCCCCTTAGTGACAATTCCCCACACAGACATTTCCCCATCACCTGAGTGCCCACACAGATATTCCCTGCCAGACAATTTCCCATCACCTGAGTGACAATTCCCCATCCCCTTAGTGACAATTCCCCACACAGACATTTCCCCATCACCTGAGTGACAATTGCCCACACAGACATTTCCCCACCAGACAATTTCCCATCAGTTGAGTGACAATTCCCCACACAGATATTCCCTGCCAGACAATTTCCCATCACCTGAGTGACAATTCCCCATCCCCTTAGTGACAATTCCCCACCAGACATTTCCCCATCACATGAGTGACAATTCTCAACAAAGACAATTTCCTATCACTGGAGTGACAATTGCCCACACCTTAGGTTTTCTTATGATTAGTGTTCCTCAGTTCTGGGGAAGTAGTTGCCATGGTTACAAGACAATTACTGTTGTATTTCTAAATACTTTAAATTGAGGTGAGCTCCTTTCTTAGCAATAATGTCTTTGTTGTTTTAACCGTCTGGAGCAAAGGAGGACGTTATGTTGTTTTTGAATTAATCTTTTATTTAGGTGATGATATTTTAAATGTTCATCTAACGGTTTAACACACTACTGATTTAACTGAGATGAGAGGGATAATGTATCCTCTGTTAGGATGATGATGTTTTGAATATTTATTGAACAATTATAAGGTATAAAGGAGAGGAAATCTGACTGTGTTGAAGGCGATAGAACATCTACAGAAGGATGCAGCGAAAGTAATGACAATATTGACTCAACCAGCATCAAGTATGGCGTTCCACAGGGTACGGCCCTTGGGCCAGTCCTGTTCACATTGTACATAACAGAGCTCGGAAGTGTAATTGATGAGCAACGTGTGAATCGTCATCACCATGCAGATCATGCACAGGTGTACAGATGCTACATTCCTGACAAGGAACAAACAGCTATTGCCTCGAAAGACATGTCCCAATGCTCTGTCAGTATCAAGTCCTAGATGCTAGTAAATAAACTAAAATCGAATAACAGCATGACCGCATCTATTCTCCTGGGTGCAGTGAAACGGAGGGATCTGCGTACTATTTATTCCTTCGAGTTCGACAACTCACATATTCCTTTCGCTGATCAAGTCAGAGATCTTGGTGCAATCCTAGCCTCAGATTTGTCACTTGACAATCATGTCTCTAATCTAGTTAAGACCTGCTTCATCTCACGCCGGAACATTGGCAATATCTGTCAATACCTGACAACTGAAACAGCAACAACTCTTGTTCGATCCCTTGTCATGAGCAGACTTGACTACTGCAACTGTCTGTTGGCCGGTGCAACCAAGTCTCAGATAGAAAAGCTACAAAGAGTAAAGAACGCAGCCCGCATTGTGACAAGATCCAGGAACAATGATCATATCAATCCTATTCTATACTTTCTACACCGGTTGCCTGTGGATTTCAGAATTCAGTTTAAACTTCTCTGCCTTGTCTTCTGCAGTCTGTCTGGAACTGCCCCTACATATTTATCCAGTCTTCTATCTCTGTACAAGCCTTCTCATTCACTCTGTTCACAAGATAAAAATCTGCTTGTTGTCCCTAAAACAAGAACAGTGCAGTATGGACACAGATCCTTTGCCAATCCAGCACCAGAATCTCAGGGACTGTACTGACTTTGTCACATTCAAATCACAGTTAAAACCACATTTGTTCAGGACAGCCTTTTCAAATATCACTGTGTAATTTGGTACATTCTATCTCTGCTTTCAGCATGGATTGCATGGATACCAGCACATTATAAATGTGTTATGACGATGATATTGCACCAAGATGACAATGGTCAACCTCCCTCCAAGAGTATCAAGAAAGCAACCAAATATCACAAACAACGCCTCAAGAACCTTTGTGTTGCATATAGTGCTGGACAGAAATCCCTGGATCAGTTCCTGATGTCCATTTCAAAGAACATTTGTCTTGGCTGAATGAAAGAATGTGTAATTGTAATCATTGTTATCACCTGTGTGTCGGATACCTTATCTATCTATGTATTAAAGAATGTGAAATATATCCCAAAGCGAGCTGAATTAGACGGTCTAAGGTGATTTCTGACCATGACACTGCTTCGTGTATATATCAACACTATTTAACACTGTCATCAACACTATTTTTGTAGGAAACACTTGATATTTTGTGTGAAATAGATGAATATATCCAATATCACTAAAGGTTAGTAAAACTTTAAATGATATTAAAGATAAAATTTACGTTTTTGCCTTACATAGTTGAAAACCCTATAAAAGTGTCTGATACTGACAATTAAACTTGACATACTGATACTGATTATTGTTAAGAGATGTGAAAGAATGAATAAATATATAATAAAAAGGTCAATATCACTTTTGTTGTTATTTATATCCTTGTGTATTCGGTTTTCGGTCATGTAAGGATTGTCGACCAACATAACATTAAGTGCATAAATAAATCAATAATAAACAAACCTACCTTGTTTGTTTGTTATTTATTATGATATTCAAATATTTGTGAGGATTAACCTTATAGGTATTTCACCACGGCTATGAGCCTCGTAGTTAAGCTGCATAAAAAGATCCTGAATCGCGGGAAGTGGCGTCATCTGTTTTACGTTCACTTCATTGGTTCTCCGTGAAACAGAAATCTAATAGCAGTATTAAGTGCTATGCTGATATTTTTATAATATAAAGTTAATAAACATCCAGTCCAAAAAGAATATTTGTAATAGTTCCAATAATAATGATTAGAAACAATGGTCGTAATAATTTCATGTCAGAGTTAATCATGATAAGACTTAAGCTAGTTACATCACATGTCAGGCATGTTTCACTCCTCGGTTCGTGATTTCGATTAAGTGGCACCAAAACTCATCAGAAGATCTCACTACACATAAGGAGGTGCACAGCTTGAGAGTGGACCCTAATGACAGCATCAGGATGAGTACACTGGGCCCATGACACAGAAATATATTAATTGCAGTTTCGAAAATTAAATGAGTATTTTGGAAAATCGTAATAAGAGATGACCCTATCCAGTTTCCATGTATTTTTCTACGACGGCAACGCCACGTGACAAGTCATGGGATAATAATACGTCATACTATAAACAAGCAGACGACGCTATACTGAAAAGGTGGAGCTGACGATATTTTAGATATAGCATTTTGATTATCCTTGTGTATTCGGTTTTCGGTCATGTAAGGATTGCCGACCAACGTAACATAAAGTGCATGAATAAATCGATAATAAACAAACCTACCTCGTTTGTTTGTTATTTATTTATGATATTCAAATATCTGGCGTATTAACCTCGTTTCACCCGCGCAACAGGCCTCATAGTTAAAACTTTCGCATTAGATGCGTGAATCACGAGAGTGGCGTCATCTGTCGTTTCGTTCACTTCATTGGTTCTCCAGAAAAACAGAAATCTAGGAGTGCAGTATTAAGTGCTATGCTGATATTTTTATAATATTAAAGTTGACAAACATCCAGTCCAAAAGAATATTTGTAATAGTTCCAATAATAATTATTAGAAACTATGGTGCGTAATAATTTCATGTCAAAGTTAATCATGATAAGACTTTGCTAGTTACATCACATGTCCAGACATGTTTCACTCCTCGATTCAGCCTGACAAAGGGCACGAAACTCATCAGAAGATCTCACTACACGCGCGGAGGTGCACGACAGCTTGAGGTGGACCCAAAACACATCATGCAGGATGAGTACACTGGGCCCATGACACAGAAATATTCATTGGAGTTTTGAAAATTAAATGAGTATTTTGGAAAATCGTAATAAGAGATGACCCTATCCAGTTTCCATATATTTTTTTTTACGACGGCTTAGCGCATGCGTGATATGTCATGTGATAATGATACATCATACCGTAAAACAAGCGGGCGGCTATTCTGAAAAGGGTGGAGCTGACGATATTTTAGATATAGCATTTTGATTACATGAAAATTGATGCATTAGTAAACTTGGTTCTAAAACGTAACATTTACATGTGTTTGCAATCATGTACCTTCCTACATTTCACACGAATCATTTTGTTAGTCAGTGCTGAAGCAGTCGACCTCCTGCCAAAAATAACCTGTTTGGTGACGTAATATCTCGCAAATAACCGCGAGAAATAAACACGCAAACAGGCGACCGAAAACAGATGTTGAACGAAAACAGATGACTCGAGGATACATGAAAATTTATGCATTAGTAAACTTGGTTCTAAAACGTAACATTTACGTGTGTTTGCAATCATGTACCTTACTAAATTTCACATGAGGCATTTTGTTGGCAGAGCTGAAGCAGTCGACCTCCTGCTAAAAATAACCTGTCTGGTGACGTAAAATCTCGCTAATACCCGCGAGAAATGAACACGCAAACGGCCAACCGAAAACAGATGACTCGAGGATACTTTTTAATGTGTGGGAAATTGTCCGAGTGGGGAATTGTCTGTGTTGGAAAATGTCTATGTGGGGAATTGTCTGGACCCCCTTATTTGTGCACTGTTAAGTTGGCGCCAACTTGGCAGTCTTGATGAAATCATACCTCTCTTTACAACACAACAAACCAAGATCAAAATGAATGTTCGAAAACTGGCGTCACTCGAATGTTAGACGACGGATCTATGGCTTCTAGCTGTCTTTTATGATTCAGATTCAAATATGATTAAGATCTCTTCAACATCATCTATCACATATTTCATAACATTCTTAAGTTTTATTAACCTATTGAAAAAAAATCTTCCATTTATATCAACAAAAGTATTATGATCCTCAAACATTTTCTAATTTGCCGCCGAGAAAGAAAAGCATGCAGGTGCTTGCACAGGTCAAAATTTTAAAAATATCAGTGAGATAGCCGTCAAATAAAGTTATGCATTTTAAAAATAAACTTATTTGTAGTTACCATTGTCATATTCCGATGTTCCTGGAGTAATACTTATCATCGTTGTCATCTTGTTTGCGGAAAATGTGCCGAAACAGCATCCAAAGCGTCATTCACCACACATAACAACCAAACGCCACCTTGCGGCAAAGAAGCAGGTTCAATTAAAGGACTTAGCGACATTTTCTGGAAAAGAGAAAAAAGCAAATTGTATGGAAATCTCTTATCTAACTCAAACTCTTATATATATTATAACATAAACCAAACACGTGTATATGTATACACCACTGAGTGTTAATGGCAAAGATACAATATGCTATTTATCTTTTGTTCGTTTGAAATATTCCTCAATTTTATTAATTGCAAGCCAAGTCGCATGAGACATGAGAAATGGCAGCCGAATACTTCAGCATCGGAAGTTCTGTTGCTGTCACAACATGCCACAACATAGAATATAAAGGAGAAGTTCTTGCATTTGACTGGACGTCCAAGGTCCTTGCCATCAGTATCCTTTTATGCAACATTTGAAGTAATGTTTCAAAGAAATCGAAAACGTCCTCAGTAACCACGTTCAGTTTTTCGATCACTATGGTTTACTATCCGCACTCTGCGAACATGTTTTGAGTTAAACCTGGGATCGGATATGTTTGTTTATTCAAAGATATTTGTTTTTCAATCCGTTATCGATGTGTTGTCATTGTCTAATATGATGTGAAACGTTGACTTGATTATTTCAGTCAAGGTTCAAATGTCAAACACCATAACATGTGACAAGATATTTTTGTACCAACATGAAAATAACTTTTCCCTTTCAATGGTTATTGGTATTACTTCAGACACAATATTTATCTATATGCAAATTCACATGATGTGAGCCTACCAGAAACTATGTAGACTTAGATAATTTCTATTTCTGGCCTACCTTTAGAATACAGCACCACAAACTTTAAAAATACGTCATAATACCCTTTTACGTAATGTCATGTGATTTTGTTCGAAAGCACGTTCTCGAAACAATGCCCTATGACGCCTGCATGCTTCAACTAGGTTGTCTAGCTCAACAAAGTCGCATTATAAAGCTCCGGCTCACTGGTGTTTCATCTCTCGAGCTATGTCGTTGCATAAGCCAGCGATGTTGAGAGTTTCCAGTAGTTGTATACGGTGGATCGCATAATATTTTACAAAGCACCAGTTTGAAATATTTTCTTTTTTCACTAATAAACATATATTTATTTGTATTACGGGCTGCTGAGGTGTTATGTTTTGTGTATTTTGTATTTTGTAATTTTTTAAATTTACATATATATTTTTGTCATTCAGTAATTTGCACCATTACATAGAAAAGTGTTTTATTAGTATTTTATTTTTCGAAGCGGTAATAATGCATTACACTAAACACGTCAGTCGTGTTTATGCCGGTTCGGTCAATGCATTCTATTTATTAGGATCAATTCAAGGGATTGGGGCTAGGGCTAGGGCTAGGGCTAGCACCTAGGGTTAGGGTTAGGGTTTGGGCTGAGGGTTTAGGGTTTAGGGTTAGGGTTAGGGTTGGGGACCTAATCCAATTTATCAGGTACATGTCGGTGTAATACGTGAGTACCATTTGTTGTTTTTCCTTTTTGCATTTTAATACTTTTTTTCACACAAAAACGGGAAACCAAAAACGTCGAAAGTACATTATAAAATGGTTTAATGTAGAAATTTTGGGCTAATGGAAATTGGTCTGGAATTTGCACTCAAGCCTCTTTCAAGCGCTAACATAAATTTTGTAAAACAGTAATGATTCAGAGGCTAACTCACCCGGTGCGCGTCACTACATGCTCATGTCTCCCTCGTTCTTTAGTAGATCCACATTATCCTTACAGTGTTCCTTCATCACTTTTCTGTCACAAAATCACCGATTTATATAAAAGCACGTCATTCATGCATGCACCGGTGAAATCGTCTGGCCTGGCGTCAACAACCCTTTTCAGTGTGAGGCATATCGGCTCATTCCACTGCGCCACCGCGTTAATTTGTAGATTACGGAATGGGGACGAGTGTGCCAAATGGCATCGGATCCATTCGGCAGTTGTCCGGAGAATAATCACGAGACACCAAGTCTACCCGTAGCATCCGTAATTGTCCGTGACCTATTCGACTCTTTCCGTTCATTTCCGTGACGTCACAGGAATGACTCGATAAATTTGGACATTGCGCAACAGTGTGGACGTAGCTCAGTCGGTTAGCTGTCGAGCTAACAATCCGAAGGTCGCGGGTTCGTGTCCGCCGGGTTCTCACAAACTGGTTGCTTGTCTTAATGACACGTGACCTAGTGCAGAGATCGTCCTCACGAGAAGTTGTGGTGCTGTATTCTAAAGGTGCTCCCTATTTCTTACTATATTTATCGACAGCCATTCAGTGTCCCAGTGATGTTTTAACTATTTCTTAAACTTGTAAAAGAAGCTGACCCTACAAATGGAGCTAGAGGTCAAAGTGATGTTAAGCTCATCAACCTGGCCTTGGTCAGCGATGTTAAAGTCCTGAAAGAAGCAGATGATCAGCCACAAGCGCTCACGAACCTAAACCTACCCAGGGTAAGAATATTTTTTGTGAAAGAAAGCCTAGTACACCATGCCAGAAGCTGAAGAGGCATGAGTTAGATGCTCTATACTACTTATCAAGGATTTAGTGATTGATGCATTTTTCATACAGTGTTGTTTTATTTGTGTGGGTTCTGATCCATAAAGCATTGGTAATGTTACGAACTGACGTATACCATTAGCTTATTGTATACCATTATCTTATTGTATACCATTAGCATATTTACCATTAGCTTATTGTATACCATTAGCTTATTGTATACCATTATCTTACAAATATTTAGGATATATCTGGACCGGAGTAGAGTCCAGTATTTGTCTCCAAGGATGTACCTGATGTAAAATAAGCATGATTCCAAATGATTTGAACAGTTTCTCAATTGATGTGAACATAGTTATTACCACACTGTTCAAATGGAGGCGTGTATTTAACTGATAACATGCCAATAATATCATTGTGGAGGTTGATTTAATGCTTGGTTTGACATTATTGAATGTAAGAAACTATGCATCTGAATGAAAATATGTCGCAGGTTTGAACAAAATAGGCATATTCCACTTCTTAAGTGAGTGAGTGAGTGAGTTGAGTTTAACGCCGCACTCAGCAATATTCCAGCTATATGGCGGCCCACTTCTTAAGACTTTCTTTTAATCCATGTATATGCAAACACACTACATCTGTCTGTTCTTTGAAGTACATTTATGCTAAAGCCTTCCAAAATCTGTGAGGTTGATGCATATATTGAATCTAGCTTGAACATTATGTTGTCACATTGTTTGTCATACTGATATATTTAGCTCAAATCAAATGACAGAAATAGGATGACTGATAAAACAAAATAAAATTGTAGACCTGTTTTACTCTCAAAAGTTCCGTTACAATGACATGATTTCAGGCTTAAGCCCAGAGCATTTTTGCATGCAAAAACATTTTCTGCCTAGATTTTGGTTTGTTAGAATCTAACCCATCTTCATGGGTTTCACTGAAACCTATCTTGTTTAAACTGTCACTATATTAGCAGATCACATGTTTGAGTTTACAATACAGTTCTAATTGAATCATTTTGGCAGATAAAGAACCGATTGAGAGATAGTTTAGATGAGAAAGGAGACAAGTTAACTATGTGGGAGTAGGTGTGTGCCACCAGAAGGACAGAAGATCTTCTTTGCAATAACAAAAAGCGTAAGTAGGCTTCTTTTCTTTGTTTTTGTTTCTAACCTAATGTGAGGATCCAGGTTTGAATTGAATTAGATCAGCTTAGCATACCTGTTTGTTGTATGAGCAGAATGGGACTTGATTGACACATGTCATCATATCCATGTTGTGTAGATCAAAGTTTGTGCTCTGTTGATCACTGGATTGTCCAGTGAAGACTTGATTATTTACATACTGGCGCCATATAGCTGGAATATTGCTGAATCACGTGACGCAGGAACAAACCAACCATCAATCTGTTGTTTTCCCCTGTATGAATTTGATTCTTGGATCATGTCTGGGAGACCATGTACGACAGCCATCTTATTAAATTCTGATATTTGACTCTTCTGCATGAAGGTCTGAATTAACAACCTATGCACAAGAAGTCAAGCCAAAAGCCAGGATCAAGGCATCATATTCTCTGTGCTATTGATCAAAGCATCTGATTCCTGTGATTGATGCTTCGATTGAAAATATGTACAGGGTTGTGGGGTAGCCTAGTGGTTAAAGCGTTAGGTCGTCTAGCTTGAGACCAGTTTATATTCCCCATATGGGTACAATGTGTGAAGCCCATTTCTGGTGTCACCCACCGTGATATTGCTGGAATATTGCTAAACTAACTCACTCACTGAAAATGTATGTATAATCTAGTTTTAAATGCAGGTATATAGGCAAGGATCTGGTCATCAAAATGTCGTCGTGATGGTGAAAGTCTGTCCTAAAAAGTTTAGGCAACATTTGAGATACAGACTGAGAAGCAATATTATGAGATCAGTTCCAGCATTAGTCTCAGTGGCTTTTGGTCTTTCTATGAATTTGAAATAGTCGGACCTGGTCTAATCATACTAATGATAAATACAAATTGAAAAGTGGATTCTGCCCAACATCAAAGTGTGACAAAATAAGTACCAGTCCATGGAGACAAGGTTTAAGAAGTATATATCACAGGGATCTACTGAGTAATGATGGAGTCAACATCAATTAGTGAAATGAAGAAGTGTCTAATAACCTGTAGGTAAAATCAGCGACAAATTTATCAATTATTCAGGAACTGTACTAGCTTCGAGATAAGATATGGCTATGAACTGTAACAAAACGCGCTGTTGCTTGGCAATGTCTGTAATATCTCGGTAGTATCCTCTCCATGGGATATTTGATTAATTCAGTAACCCATGCTTGTCGTAGTAGGTGATCTGACGGGGATCGGTGGTCAGGCTCACTGACTTGGTTGATTACCGTCATTGTCCCAATTATCCCCAATATTCATGCTGCTGATCACTGGATTGTCTGGTCCAGAAGAAGTGAAAATGTGAGTTATCTCCCTTGGTGGGTACTAGTGGGACTTGTGTCTATCTAAACGTGACCCATTGTCCTGGTAACTAGACCTGTGAACACCAGGGTTAGAATTGGTCTTCAGTAACCCATGCTTGTCATAATAGGCGACTAATGGGATCAGGTGGTCAGGCTCACCGACTTGGTTGACACGTCATTGTATCCCAATTGCGTAGATCAATATTCATGCTGCTGATCACTCGATTGTCTGGTCCAGGCTGGATTATTTACAGACCACCACCATATAACTGGAATATTGCAGAGTGTGGCATAAATGTAATTAAGGGCCAGGTGCTTTCTGGACACTGTTAGTGGTTCAGATTCAGCCAAGGAACAGCGGCTAGGCTGTGGGCACTGATACCAGGACAAAGCACATGTATGGAGGCAGCCATATTTTATTGCCGGTAATTAAGGAAAACCAGGATTTTAGTGGAATAGGGATGGATTGGTTACATGAAAAGTGGAATCGGATGGAAAGGGTAAAATATGAATTAATAGGAAACATTAGAAGTGGAGAAATTAGCCTTTCTGACAATAAAACTAAACTCATTCTCACCTCCTGTCATCATTCGGTTATAATAGACAGATTTTGGACATTGTAATGGGAATCCCCAAGCATGCACAAGCATTCTGAAAGGCACAGCAGCTAAGGTATGAGTGAGTTTACAACCGCCTCAAGCAATATTCAAGTTATATGGTGGCGGTCTGTAAATAATGTCAGTCTGGACCCGAATCAATCCAGTGATCAACAGCATGAGCATCAATCTGAGCAATGGGGCACTGCAGCTAAGCCCAAGGAGCAAAGGTCTAGCTATGTATTTGAACCTGGAATATTGTGCATCTGTTTTGTTTAGAAAATATTATCTGATCATTTTCTTGTATGATGTGTGTGCCTCTGTTTACCAGTATCAGTGATGTGCTGGTTGGGATGGAAGTAACATCATCGTCATGGGCCAGAAAGTGGTCATCAAGCCTCCATACAGATTAGAAGACTGCAGTGCACGCAAGTCTGAGTCATCACAAGCACTCCAACATGTTAGAAAAATAGTAAGTTTGTTTCTTCATCTATGTGACTTTTGTCACTGAGATTTACCACTCATGCAAACACATTCATCCTCAGATGTACATCCTCATCACTACCAGGGCCGGTGGGGTAGCCCAGTGGTTTAAGCATATGCTGGTCCCACTGAAGACCCGGGTTCGATTCCCCACATGGGTACAATGTGTGAAGCCCATTTCTGGTGTCCTGCCATGATGTTGCTGGAATATTGCTAAAAGCGGCATAGAACCATACTCACTCACTAAATCAATCACTCACTCACTACCAGGTAATTATGAAATGGGAACAGGTCACCCAGTCATCTAAGGCACTGCAATTTGGTTGTGTCCCTTGGGGAAGCCAGGATCCTATAAGCATGAGTTGGAGTATTTATTCTGGCTTTGACCCCAGAAGTATAATGCTAATACTGTTAAGAGTGCATTGTCATCATATGCTGCGAGTTACATGTGCCACCGTCTTACAAAGTTAACAAGGGTTTTAGTTATGTGGGTCATTTAGAACATAATATTTGTAATATTCGTTATTAAATTAGTTTCTATGAGGTTTGCACTTCAATTCCACAACAGACCAAGGGGAACTTACGTAATAGATGCAGTTGAATAATGACAAGATATACACTTCAAGGTACTGGGACGTGCTGACAGGATATTGGGTAGCCTAGCATTTGAAGCTCAGCCTTGTCATGTCATTAACTGGGGCTTTAGCCTAGTGGTTCGTCTCGTTTCGCTCGTCACACCGAAGACGTGTGTTCGATTCCCCACATGGGTACAGTGTGTGAAACTAATTACTGGTGTCCCCAGCCGTGATATTGCTGGAATATTGCTAAAAGCAGCGTAAAGCCATACACACTCACTAAGTCCCCCACTCCAGTGCCTGCCAACAGCACCAGGCCAAATTCTGGTAACACGTTATATTTGGGAATACACTTTCTCAGTTAAGAACAGATTCTACAACTTCTGCTGGGTTGAGTCCCATATGGGATTTGAACCCACTCTCTTGGGGTCAGGCACTGAAAGTCAGGGGTGATGGGTTTGATGGTGCCATACCAGGGCTTGACATTCACCCAAATTCCCGAACAAGACCACAGGACCAGTAACTTTAAAAAAATCACTGGTCCTTACAGATTCTTACTGGTCCTGCTAAGGGACTCTTATTGACAGCCTTAAATATCTACTAGACCGTCAGAATCGTTCTTACCAAAGTTGCACTGGTCCTGTCAACATATTACTAGACCCAGGCCAGTGGGATAGCATATATGGCAAATATGGTAAAACTCTGATGCTTGATTTTCATTACCATGGTTTAAGATTCATTGAAAAACATCATAAAACAGCAATAGAAATTCATCATGATGATGGTGGAACATTGTGTTGAAATATTCACTACTCAATTATAAGAAAACTCCTCCTCTGTTGCAGGTAACTAAATTTCTGCAGGAGGATGGCAGTCAGGCAGAGAGGAAATCCATGTCGCCATCACCTGCCCCCTCATCATCCTCATCAACATAGTCATCATCATCATCGTTGTCATGGATACCATAACATTGTGAGAGTGAAGAAACAAATATCACTTTACTCATGTGATGTTTTCTGAGGCAGTGGACAATACTTCCAGTTAGTTGATAGTTTTACTGCACATACAAGCTCCTCACAGCAATAGCCATTCATGGAGTCTTGATCATCGTTGCCACCAGTCCTGAAAGTGGAAGAGTTTGCAGCTCATTATGATGAGACCAGTATGTTTCCAATGATGATAATCATGAACTGAAAACCCTCTCCCACCTTCCTTTCCTTCTATGTGTGAAGCCCATTTCTGGTTGTCCCCGCTTCATTGATGTTGCTGGAATATTGCTAAAACGGCGGCGTAAAACCAAGCTCAGTCAGTCAGTCCTTTCCCTTCTACAGGCCGTGGGGTAGCCTTGTGGTTAAAGCGTTAAACTGTCGCGTAAAGACCTGGGTTATATTCCCCTCAATGGTACAATGTGTGACCCATTTCTGGCGTCCCCATGCGTGATGATTTGCTGGAATATTGCTAAAAGCAGCATAAAGCATGCTCATTCCTTTGCCTTCTCTATTTTGTTTTGTTTGGTCAATTTAAATTTCTATTCACTTCCATTGTAATTGCCCTAAGTATGAGTGTTGGTGGGAAGTTTGGTGTTTTTGTTTAGTCAACAATATCTTGAGACCAAACAAAATAACCTGAATTTTCCTCTGAAGTAGTAAGTCAGTGTAACCATTTTAAAATCACCATAATGATGAAAAATGTCTTTCCCTTGGAAGGCACACAAAATGTACCTATCACCTGGTTTTGTGTGTGAGGAAAACGACAAAATGTTTGGACGGTTGGCATGAAGTTCACAGTCATAACATGTTTGTTCAAGCTTCTTATGAAATGGGCCTTCCACACTGGTGGCAATGGTGATACAAGATATTTCACAACATTGTCAGATGCTTGGATGGAGTAATGCATTTAAGATCAACGAGATAATCTGTTTGACCTTCCTTGTTGAAGACTTCGATGAGTCAGGCCAAAAAAATATGTTATGGTTCGATTTCCACACATTTCAGAACTAGGGTAGGTAGGTAGGTTTTTGGGTTTTGCAAAATATTTGTACATTACTACCTCAGGTGAGTCATGTGTCAGAAAATAATTTATTATGTGGTGAGTAAATTTGTTAGGCCCGGTGGGAATATTTAGGGTCTAGGTCAAAATCGGAACCACAAGGTGTTTTGGAGGCCTCACGTCATGTTAATTTCCGTCTTGGTCCACCAACATCCCTCTGAAAGTTGAAGCAGACTCTTTTAAGTTCCTGATCTTGCAGAGAGCCGGAAAGACTGCCAGTCTCCGATTATTCAGTTTAATATTTATTTTTAGACAATTGTGGAAGTATCCTTGTTGCAAGACTTTATATATTCAGTATTGAGTTCTCATGGCACAGTAATGCAACTTTCTTTCTAACCAAGGAAACCAAGGACTGGTAAAAGTGAATTCAAAGACAACTGTTTTACTGTTACAGGTCATATTAAGTGTTTGTCGATATTGCAAAAGAGCATTGCAACATGGTATTAATTTAGTGGAATTACAATATTTCTCAATCCATTTAGTTGTAAGAAGGGACAGTGGGGTAGCCTAGTGGTTAAAGCGTTTCTCGCTTGTCACAGCTGAAGACCCTGGTTCAATTCCCCACCTGGGTACAATATGTGAAGCCCATTTCTGGTGTTCGGCCATTGATATTGCTGGAATAATACTAAAAAAGCTGGCATAAAACTAAACTCACTCACTAGTTATGTAAAGCATTATGGTGATATGCTGATGTGAATCTTCCATTGAGTATTATTCTGAAATAAACTAAACAGAAGAAACACTTTTAATAATTTAACTAAGCCCTGTATTTGTTATTATTTATTCCCCACTGATACAAATTTCATTGCAGTTACCATTTAAACATCAGACTCTTATCAGTTAGAGAGATGATGCACAATTGATGTGTCTCTGCTTAGGATCTTAATGAAACAAGATATTGAGCATCGACTCAGAAAAGAATGGACAAGAATCATTTTGTAATCTGAATGGAGGAAAAATTTCAAGTGAATTCTGAATTTTTCATATTTGCTGATTATTCAAGGAAAAGAAATACTTTCATAGTCTCCGTTAGCTACTGCTGCAGTATTAGGGACCATTCATAATTCTTGACAATTGGTGGTGGGGTGGGGTGTCATCAATTTTGTTCACATGTACTAGGGGTGGTGATCAATTTTGGACATTAAAAAATATTAAGTAATCATGGTTAAAAAATGGGGGTGGGTGGTGTGTCATTGATTTTGGTACATAACTTTTTGGGAGGGGATCATTCAAATTGTACATGCTTCTACATAAAATCATCATCACCCTCAGCCATAGCAAATTAGGAATGGTCCCTCATTGAGCGATTGTAATGTGTCTGTTTTCTGCCAGAAGGATCATGATGGTGATGCTGATCATGTCAAGACTGAGTTGAGATGTTACTATCATTGGCAGGACTGTCGTGTAAATTCTGATCCCGTCTCTTCTCTAATTGGTGTGGTGGGGTAGCCCAATGGTTAAAGTGTTCAATTGTCACACCAAAAGACCCGAGGCCCATTTCTGGAGCACCCCACCATGCTTTTGCTGGAATATTGCTAAAAACAGTGTAAAACTAAACTCTTCACTCACCTTGCAATATAATACTGGCCATATCAACATGCATTGTAAAATTGCCCCATGGGCTGAAATAAATAATAAATTAACCGACTCTACCAACATGCCTTTAAGAATTCTAGTTCAAAACACTTTGTTGTGACTGCCTGAGGTTTTGAAAGAAGTTACAGAATATTCTTAACACTGACAAGTTATGAAACAGTTAATTTTTGTGTTATCAGAAGCATTGTTTCAACTCGGAATGTTCTGGCCATTTAGATTTATATATCAACACGTAACCCCTATCAATAAAGAAATATGTGTTGATTTGTAACCAATAACCGTAGACATGTATTCCCTATTAATAAAGGATTGGTAGCTCAGTGTAGCATTCACTTGTGTTTAAGATCTGTTTGATTCCCATATTATTGTATATGTGAAGCCCCTTTTTCCGATGTTCCTACTGTTATATTATAGAATATTTTATAGCAATATTAACCTTAACTTTATTCCTAGAAAGCATTAGTTAGGATAGTTTCACTTCTTAAAATTTATTTTAACCATATTGAGGGTCCACCCACTCACCTCCCCCATGAAGGGGAGGTCTACTATTGGAGTGGAATCTCCTTTGCCAATTTACAATAAACATTGTTTTAAACATCCTCCGTTCATAGGTTGTGTGTTAAATCGCCTAATAGTAGTATTCAAGTGTATTGACAATTGGTTCCTTGGTCACCATGAAAATACATGTTTGTCATATTGTGCTTAAATTATACTCTGATGAGCATTCTCCCATGATATATGAGGGTACCTTCTTTAATTATCCAGACAATAATGATAAACACTCAGGTGAACTGATGGTAAGCTCGAAAAGAATTTGCCTTTTGTTTACAAGCTCCAGTTGATCTTTAGATATTTTATCTCAAGAAACACAAAAGAACAATATACCTTTACGCATACACTTAGTGTACAATACATAAAATATTCACAACACCATGATAGTACAGCCTTATTAATTTGCATTCTGAACTCCTGGTTGTTTTCTTGAAAAGCTGATGCTTGTCTGGAGAATTTAGGAAGCCTCAACACCTCATCAGAAAGATGACCTTTGGTGATCTACGGCAACCACAGGTTTTCATGCATTCAGGGCAAATGCTTTGAGTAAAAAGATCTGGGTCAAAAATAAATTAACCAATATTGGAATACAACATCCCAACATATCATGTACAGGCTTGTATTCCCTTCACAAATTGCCCCATGGGAAATCCTCAGCAACCCATGTTGTCATAAGAGGTGACTAATGGGATCGGGTGGTCAGTTGATCTGACTTTATTTCGATACATGTCATCAACATATTCAATTGTGCACAGATTGATGCCTCATGCCGTTGATCTCGGACTGGTTCGGTCCAGACCATTTACAAACATTGCCATACAGCTTGAATTCTGCTAAACAAAACAATTGCGAAACTGCTGCAACGCGGATGAAACCAATCTTAGATAACATACAAGCCACTAATAAAAATATTCATATATTTCATGAATCATACCTGCCAACAGTTACACACAGATGTCTTGAACAGATCATATTAGAAGAGAATTGACAAGTATCACAGTGCAACCTACCACCAAACACTATAATATGGATGGAAAACAATTAACCTATTGTGGCCTACAGCTAGCTATCACTTTGATTAACAGCTGTGTCACTCAAGTGAGATTGTTTTTCCCATGGTGCAGTAAACGCGTTAATATAGAATCTTACAAGGAAAATCCTGGTTTCTTCAACCCAGGCTTGTCGAAGAGTCACTACAAGGATCGGATGGTCAGGCTCACTGTCGGTGGGTTGTAGTCAAAAGGGCCGTAGGCTAAGTCAAATGGGCTGAAATGAAAAGTCAAACAGGTCAAATAACGTAATAACTTATAGTAAAATAGTGTAAATAGTGATTAGTTGTTATTATTAAGCACAATGGAATTTGAAACATGACTCAAATGTTTTCATTGTGTCATGACTAATCAAGACGAATGTTTGTTTCCTTTGTTGTAAAGTTTTAATCCAAATCTAATTAAAACATGGAGTCTTAACATTTTATTGTAAAGCATCTCTCACTCCAGTGTCTTAACTAAAGAACACACTTCAGAAATGACATGCACAGCCCATCCAGCTTCACATGAACCAAACCACAAAGCAAAACAAAATCAATATTCCAGTTAAAGTTGTAACACCTAACTGACTATACAAATAGAAGGGTTATACAAATAGACCCTACAACAACACAACAACAATCTACTCTTCATTCAAACAGCTAATAACAACAAAACACAACTAAAATTATTTCTGCCAACAGAATCATAAGCCAACATGAAAACAACCAACTATGTAGTTCTTTACCTTTCATTATCAAGTATGATGATATTATGTTTCAATGCTATATGTGTCAATAAATAATGTAAACCTTTCTAAACTTTTTTTCTGTTCGGCCCATAGACTAGGAATAAGGTCCTTTGACTCTTCATATCGGTCTTTTACTTTTCCATCGGCCCTTTGACTTGGTAATCTCTGTCGGCCCCTTTTGTCCTTCGGCCCATTTGACTAGTTCCTTAATGTGGTTGACACGTCATCGTGTATCAAATGTAAGTGATCACTGAATTTATTGATAGTCTGGGTTCCAGTCTTCGATTATTCACATAGATAGTAGTCATATAGTTGGAATAAGTTGTTGAGTAATGGCGTTAAATTAACAAACTAGAGACTATATACTGTTATGGTCTCTAGAACAAAACCAACTAACCAAAAGTGCGCAAAAACGTTGGCACCGTACAAAAACGAAGCTACTACGTAAAAATAATCCCTTCCGGACGCAAGGCAATGTACATATCTACAACATTTATATTCTAGATGTCAATTGAAACTGCTTCTAACAATGACCCATATACCCGTGGTATTTATTGATTCTATTTCCTTAACGTTTCAACACAAACGCAGTTGATGAGAATGACGCGCAATGCAAGCCCATTAGCGGTGCATTCCATGACAATTTTGGCTTTACCCTTAGAAAAAAAAAATATTCGGATGGATGGTCTGACGATCACAATCATAAACAACAGGATTGTCGATTATTACGTAATTCTATTATTCCACCACATTTACACTCCAGGTAGTATCGTAAACTTGTTTCATATTCTACAAAGAATCAACTAAGTTGTAGCGGAAGTAATATATAATGCAGTTTACTTTCTGCAGTGTGTGCACCATGAGAACATGCCGGCCCCATTTTACCGTTCATGCAATTGCACATGCGTATTAGACATCATTGGTACGTTAAAACGTTCAGCGCAACGAACATAAGAAACCAGTTCAGCAAATGTCGGGGACGCGCGAACAAACATATCTTACACAGTTTGTTGGTTGCTGACACCAGAAAACTGTTGCTGTCCGTCTCATAATAACAGCCACGCCTTTCAATTTTATATTCCATTTGCCGCCACCTTCATGCAAGGTGCCTTTAAGTGTCTCTTTAATAACGTGGTTCCGCTTTCGCCAGAGAAAATTGGTCCTTTCGCCAGAGCGGTTCCGCTTCGCCAACTGGTTTCCTTTGGCAACCGCCTTGACGCGGTTCCGCCTAGCCCGCACCCACTTTGACTACAGGTGGGCAGGCAGGTAGGTAGGTAAGCAGACAGGTAGGCTATACCTAAGCTGTTGCAATGCCCATAAAACATCAGGTCTGTGCTAGGTTGATGTATCTTGCTCTTTTATCAACAGGGTGAAAAAATGTTATGGTATACTTTGAGAAAAATCTTGACATATAGAAAACAATTTCATCCTGAGAATTATGCCTGAAAATCATTTTCACTCTCTTATTGAGATTCAATATTCAGCTTAACAGTTGATCTTTTCATTATGTTTTGCGTGGACAATACAGAATGTATATAGAGATTTATTCTTTTAAGGACCTTTTTTATGTGTGAAGTCAGATGACTGAGAAAGGTTTGTACCTTTGAAGCGTTGCTATTTGTGTATAGTTGCAATTCTTTGTAGTTTCTATTGCATTACTGGTGCATTTATTAGATATTTGTGCATTGCAAATCCTGCTGCTTGTATGTTGAGCTTGATCTTGAAAAATCCTACTGCTTGGTTTGCAGAGTTGATTGAGGTAAAATGGATCAGCCGGATTCGTCATTGTGCTTTGGCTAATATTGGTACATTCTTCACAAACAACCACTGCTTTTTTCGCCCATGCGTTAATATTGAGTGAGTGAGTGAATGAAGTTTAATTCTTACCACACTCAGCAAATATTCCAGCCATGCTACGGGCGGTCTGTAACAATCGAAGCCCAATCTCAGACAAATCCAGTGATCAAATAAAAGCATGAGCATCTG